AAAGCACAATTTTAATAAAATCATCAGACTACGGATCCTTTAAGTATGTAAATAAGATACTTTTATTATTCATAACCTCCAATATTTAAATCAATATTTAATTGTAGATATTGTTCTAAAAAAGACAGGGATAAAGATAATGTTTACCTAGACAGTAAAAGTTTATACTGTAAACAACGTGGATATGTCTGGAGTGCTTCAAATAAAAAGTCTACCAAATTAAAAGACAAACTTAAGGAATATGAAGTAACGATATGGTTCATTTCATAAATGAAAATCTGTACACTTATTTTTTAGGATCTTTTGGCACAAAATAAAGTTGTAACGTTTGTATGGGATAATGTAGTAAAATTACTTCTTTCACGTGGCATTGTAGTCACAATTACAGTAAATTCTGTAACAAATGATATAGAAAACATCAGCTTTGACAGAAGTATAGTGTCCAAAATTTATCCTGAAGTTGTTAATGCAGGTAGGTTCTATATTCAAATTGTGTTACTAGTTTTTTTGTAAAAACTAATTTTTTTAGGAATAATTAATGATCAACGTGTTGTATTTGTGTGCAGTGATGGTAAAATTTACTGTCAAGGTGGTTCTTGGAAGGATGGTTATGTTATAGGCAGTACTCCTAAGAGAAAAGTTAGTCTTTGCAAAGATTATTTAGTGGTTTGGGGTGGTGCAAACTGTGAAAATCCTCAACCATGGAGTCCACTAATTAAAGAACACCACAAGGGAAATATACATTTTTATTTAATTGGTGCAAAAGGACCAGAGCTTTTAGCTTCTAAAAGGACTGAAGGAGATCCTCAGGATGTTATAATTAGTAAAGCAAACAATGAGACATTAATAGTAATTGAGCAAATTGTTTCACAAAAAGGTATATAAAAATACTATTTTATTTTACTCTGGCCTAGTTACAGAAGAAATATGAAATTTACTATGAAATCTCCTAGATATGACACTGTTTTGGAACTGCTTTTAATATTGATGAAACTCCTCATTAATTTTTGTCTGCATATTATAGGAAATAAGTGCCCTTCTTATTTTTTTCTAAACTTTATTTTTATAGCCTGCTTTCCTCAAAATCAAAACATAATCTAATGTTAAATGCTAAATTAACTTAAAAATAATTTCATGCTTATATAATTCCTTTTAGGTGCTGTGTCCATTGAAGTTGGAACTTTTAAACTAGTTGATCATAATCTGAAACGTACCTGTGTAACTTTAGTACCTCTACAGACTCAAATAAGTTGCTGCGTATTGAGCCAAGATGAAAAATATGTGTTTTTAGGATGTATAGATTCCTCCATAGCAATTCTAAATCGTAGCAGAGGAACCACAAGAATTGCAAAAGCCTCCTTTATCCCAACTTTTGCCATATGGCACATTGCAGGAGTTACAGTGGCAATCTCTAATGAAAAGGGTCAGCTACAATACTATGATGTAGCTTTAAACTGTATCAAGTCCCAACTTATTGGAGAAGACTGCACTGCAATTGGATTAGTTGATTTGTCGATTTATTTTAAAAATCAAATGATTGTGGAGAATTTATACAGAGGACCGAATGGTTTAGTAGTAGTGTTTGAATATGGACCTGTTGTTGTTATAACGCACGTCGAAAGAGCACTGAGTTTGCCTTCGTTAGTTCAGTATTATTTGTCTGCAGAGAAAGTGGATAAAGCTATTGCTTTATTATTGAACGTGGATTGGAGTGATGAAGTTTTTTTTATTTTACAACGTATCATAGCTTATTTAACGAAATTACCGCTCACTGAAGAAAATGCCCGTCATCTACAAAACGCTCTGGGTAGCTTTCATTGTCCTCCGGTCCTTTTGAGTGCAGAAATCAAACGCAGATATGGATATCAGGTAAAATAACATTTACAGAAGCATTATAAATATAGTAACTTGAATTATATGACATAACTAATCCATTTTAAATTTATTTTATATTCTATATATTATATGTTATTTAATGTTTATAGTTAATATCACCCAAAGCTTATTTCCGTTAAATACATGTCTACTTACATGATTTAATAAGGAAGCAAAATAAAAGTAATAGAATCGCGTTTATTTTTCCTTAGGTCAGAATTCTCACCAGAAGATACTTTCATCAATTAGTACGTTATGGAATGTATGAGACAGCATTCCTTTTGGCCGTTGATATAGGACACCATGACTTATTTATGGACCTTTATTACTGTGCTGTTCGAATTGGTGAACGAGAAATGGCAGCAGCAGCACGAGCTCAAGCATCAGCCTTAATGAGTGAATATTCAAGCGAAGGTAATTGAAAATTATTAACATTGTTCTGAAACAAATCTATGAAGTCATTTTTTAGGATCTTGCTGTTCGAGATCTTCATGTTCTCAGTGTTCAAAATCGGGCTCCATTTGTAGCGATGAAGAAGCCGATTCTATTTCAACAGACACAACTACACATTTTGAAGATAATAATCCGCCACGAACTGATGGGCCCCTTATTACCACAAATGATAATTTTCTCTCTACAAATTTCAATAATGCTAATCCCCAAACTTATGCCAATTCATTGCGGCAAAATGTGGACGTCCCCAAACAGGACGTTTTACAAAAGCCGCCCTTTCCTAAAGTACCGCCGCCTATTCAAAATCAACGCATCTTACAAAATAATCCTATTCTTCCAACTCAACAACATTTTTCGCCTCTTACACGGCCTGTGTCACAACAAGCATTAAGACCTGCATCTCCACAGATAGTGCGACCTGTTCCTCCGCCTTCAGTACCCTCTCCAACCCTTGCTAATCGTGTTCCGACACTTAGTGGCATTAACTCCTCTTCTGCATTTCCTCCCCCTTATGGAAATGTTAATCGGACCATAACTACACCTCCTTTAAATCGACTTAACTTTTCCCCCTTTAACTTTAATTCTGCAATGAAAAGTTTACCCCAAAGACCTTACTTCCGTGCTCCGTCTGTTCCAATTTCTGATATACGAAATTCACCAGTTCCGCGCCACATATCCACACCTCCTTTACCTATCACAAACTTTTCTTTACCCAGTGTCAACACTAATACTTGTGGTTCTTCAGTAAGTACTACTGCACCACCCTCTGGATGTTTTCCAGGAGGAAAGAAGCACCAAGCAAAGGTTAAATTTTCCGACACTGTAACCGCCTTTATCGTTCCCGAAGTAAAAAGACCAGTGAGGCCGCCTCCTCCTCCTCATTTAACTAATCCTCAAAAGGAATTAGCGGATAGTTTACCTCTATGTCATCCAAACGAAGATTACTTAAAAGATTTTACGCCAGTAAGGCGAGGTGAATCAGATGACGGTCAACAGAGTAATTCCCAACCAAAAATCAAAGTTGTGCACTTTGGAGTTGTTTGAAAACGTGTATAACTTTTTGACCGTAACAAGGTTTTATATATGTTGACCTGAATTGCATGTTGCTCTCAAATCTACCTGTTTGCTGTACTCGTTATTTATTATTGTTGAATGTCTTCTATTTTTAGTGGTAGTGAAGGGCANTTTTACAAAATGTATTGTTAAAAAGTTAAAAACAATCATAACACAACTAAATACTTTAAATTGGTTCATATATGGCCACCTACCGTTAGATTACTACATTAAACATTCAGAAATAATTAATAGGCTGACATCTGGCGAACAGTAGCATTATAATTTCAAAAATAAAATGGAATTGATTTCGTGGTGCCATCTGTGTATAAGTATACAAGGAGAAAATTGAGAAATCTTAAAGTATACATACATTATAAATACACAACATAACGACATAACCTTTAAGTTATCTCATTTTTTAATTTGTATGTATTTTCTTAGATTTTAAAAAGCAAGTAGTATGTTTTCGTCTAGCCGAAAAAAAATTATTTCTACGTCTCTGAAAGGTTCTAAAAATATTATTATACTGTTATTTTGAAAGTTCAACAATTTGTTGCAGGTTTCAGATGCAACTCTCAAACTGCGGAAGCCCTACAAGTAACTAATAGGCTGGCATCTAATAAAACAAAACCATCTCAATTAAAGTTTTCGCGAATTTATCCAGAATTTTTACCTGATCCTAAAATAGAATTTAGAAATCCCCTTAGAGAAATAATAGAACGCATGGACATGTTAAACAGAAGACGCAATGTTCATATACCGGAATTTTACGTTGGTAAAAAAATCACCTATTAGTGTGGAGTTATCATAAAATTATTAATACAATATCCCTTGTTTAGGTTCAATACTGTCAGTAACATATTCTGATAAGCACAACCCAGAAAAGCTAAATTGTTTTGTGGGTATTTGTATTAAAAGAGAAGGTTGTGGTCTTAGAGCCAATTTTATCCTCAGAAATATTATAGATTCACAGGTAATAGTACATTACTGTTTTGAAATTATTTTACTTGTTTCTAATCTAATTTCTTTAAAGGGTATTGAGATTCTGTTTGATATTTATGATCCCACAATACAAAGAATAGATGTCTTGAAATTGGAAAAACGACTAGATGATGAATTACTCTACTTGAGGGATGCTCTACCAGAATACAGCACTTTTGATATAAATATGGAAGCTGAAGTATTACCTGAAGGTATATTAATATAATACTATACAATGAAGAAAAGAGCTTTTAAATGCTTCAAATGTATAGAGAGAGCACTACATACAGTTTGAGTACTTCACTCTTTATTAAGAGTAATTAATTAACGTATATGTAGAATTCTCATTAAAATGTTTAGGAATTTTTTTCCTTTCATTGTATAGAAGAAATGTATCATAGTTTCATCACCAAAAATTTATATCTTTTCTACATTAGTAACACTTTTTAATTCAGTCTTTCCATAATAACTTACAGTATGTGTGCTTTAGGAAGTGAAATACCAATAAATCCAATTAAAGTAAAATTAAAACCAAGACCTTGGTTGGAGAGATGGGAAAGGAAAAATTTAAAAGGTGTCCAAGACTTAGAACTACCTGAGAAATTTTACAAAAGAGCTGCTGAACTTGCAGACACTACATCTCAATATGATTTAATGAAACAGTACATGTATGTTAATGATTGAATATGTATTAACATTTGCCTTAATTTAAAACATTCTTTAATAATTTTGTATTTTCAGGAAAACGATTCCAGTTGAAGAACAGTATCAAATATTTTCTGAAATTGAATCAGAATTAAATCAACTTGAAATTGCACAGAAGAAGCAGAAGAGAAAGAAAAGCTTTGTAAAACCAGTAAAATTGGCTTAAATGAATTAAACTGTAGTGAATGAAAATGTGAATAAATGTTTCTTTGTTAAAAATTACTTTTAATTTAAATTCGCATTAAACAGTATGGTAACATAGTAATTGTTTTTTTCAATCTCAGTGTGTAATCTAATATTGTTCCATGGCATTTGTAAAAAAAAGCAATAAAATGATTTAGTATGTTTTGTAAATATTTTGTTCATTATATATGAACGCATCTTACTTGTATTAGATTAGATTGAGTTGGCTATATCGATTATTAACCATAGATAATATTATTGACAGCAGTGATTTCTATTCCAAATGTTTGATAAACAATTTTAAAATAGTTTTTAAAAATATGGAAATTAATATAGAAACTGCGATAAGAGTGTGCCCTTTGCGTTACGATAACGAAATAATATGTATCCAACCAAATGTCTACAACAATACAGTTCAATTTGGAAACAATCAAACTTATCCAGTTAATTATGCTCTTCCATTGGACTGTTCTCAAAACGCCCTTTTTAGTTCGACTGTCTCACCCCTAATTAATTACTTTTTCGAAGGCTGCGATGTATCAGTTATTACTTTTGGTCAGTCTGGTACTGGAAAAACGTATACCTTGCTTGGGCCAGGTTTACATTGTGCTTTGAGTGAAAGTGAATATGGCATAATCCTTCGATTTTTAAGGGAAATATATACCAAAATTTCTCATCACACAGAAAGAACTTCTATTGTACGTATAGCTTGGACTGCAATATTTGGTGAAACTATTCAAGACCTCTTAAGTTCTGGAAGTGTGGAATGTTCCAGTGTCAGTGAAGCATTTGAACTTATTCAACTTGGATTATCAAATATTACATCTCGTTCTGTTCATACCTTGTTTACAGTAACATTAGAACAGCACTGGGTAATAGAAACTGCAACACAGCATCGTATTTCCACTGCCAGTTTTATGGACTTAGCAGGATGTGACAAAATTATGATAACTCACAACAATATGGTCACTCAAAGTATTCCTACTGATAGTGGTTTACTTTCGCTTCAACAATGTGTTTGGGCTCTTTCAGAAACACCGTTTAATGTGGGAAATATTCCATATAATCAATCAGTATTAACAACTTTATTGAGAGACTCATTTGGTGGACGTGCTAAAACAGTATTAATTTGCTGCGTTTCGCCATTTTTAAAAGATTTTTCCGAAACGTACTACACCTTACAATTTGCTTTAAGAGCTCAAATGGTTAAAAACTTTGTTACATTTAATTCATATACAACATACGATACTGCTCATGACAACATTGACTACTTTGGATTGCAGTTTGCAGCTAATCAATTATTCAAACTTGTTGTCAATGCAGAGGACTTATTTAAGAGCCTAGTTGTTACAAATACATTGACTAGAAGTCAAATAGATCAAATTTCACAATGGCTTATGTTAAAACAGGAATGTGAAGAATGTTTAAGTGAAACATCAGAACCAAGAAGGTCATTAGAAATAATCGAGGAAGAAGAAGCAGAAAGTTCAAGAAGTGAAAGTGAAGATACAGATCTAGGTGAGAAGGAGAAAGAAGAAGATGAATTTGTTGATGATGATGAAGAAAATATTTCTGAACGAATTAAGAAATTGATGGAAAAATTTAGATTTAGTACAAATTTAGTTGTAACAAATATAAACACTGCCACACAAGGAGAAAGGATCAATTCTCAAGTTAAAGAAAGCACCATTCATTCTAATAAAACCTTCCACATGTTGGGAGCTAGAAGGAGAAGAGGAAGCTTACATACTCCTTTAGATTTCCCATTTTTACTTTCAATGAGTACTTCTCATATAGAAGACAACTGTGATTTAGAGAATTCAAATTCAGAATCAGATAATTTTGGATTAAAGGATTTTTGCACTAGCACTGAAGAATGTGAAAAGCAAATAGAAAAAGTAGATAATAACTCACAAAAAAAAGGAAAATTCATACAAGATGTATTTAAAAGCAAAAATTCTAAAAATAAATCAAAAGGCAAAGTGGAACAATTACGAAAAACAAAGCATAACTCTCATGTTATGGATACAAAAACGCTCACTCCACAAACCAAAACTAATCAAGAGAAATTAAAAACTGCAGAAAAAAGTAAAATATTTGAAATTGAAGGTAACCCAAGCAGTTTAAGGAAACATGTTAATAAATCTAAACAAAAAGAAATTTGCACTAAACATAGCAATCAAATTGACTCAGTTAAAAGATCTGACAATCTTGATGACACTAACAAAGAGTTAATTACATCTCAGGATTTATGTCTTACTAAATATGAGAGTTTGTCTTCAAGTTGTAAATCACAATCTGAATACTCAACAAACAGTAATCTCGATAATCTCCGGCACGAAATAAGAAACTTAAGACGTACTCGTGATTATTTAGTGGAACGTCTTTGTAATATTGATACAAAAATGAATAAACGTATTCTATCAGAAGATGAGGAACGTAAATTGTTGCAATATGAAGAAGCCATAGGTGCAATTGATTTCGCTATTGAATACAAAAACCAAATTATGTGTGGCTGTGCAACTTTAACTTCAAAGCCATCTCCAAAATACGAGGAGTATGCTGAGAAAATGATGATAGAACGTTTGCTTAAGTTAAATGACAACGAAATGAGATCTTTACTCCATCAATATTTTGAGAAAGTGGTTGACTTACGCTTTAGTAGCAAAAAACTGGAAGTTCAATTAAACGAAATGGAAGCCCAAAACGATTCGCTGACTTGTCGAGTTCAAAATTTAACACAAACTCTTCAACAAGTAAGACAACAACACGAAGACAAACTACATCTTATGATGAGACATTTTACCAACGAAGATGGCAACGAAAGAAAATTCTCGAGGTTGTTTGAAAGGTCAAAGCAAGCTGCCCTCGCGCTCCAAGTTGCTCAAGGACCGGGAAAACAGATCGACAAAGGAATTATCGCAAGATTTACGCGATATGCCAGACAAGAAACTGTTCCCCGTCAGCTTCAAGTTGTTAACACTCAACCCCAAGCCAAAGTTACTCGGCAGAAGAATAAATTAATTATTCAACAAAATAATAAGTAGCTTTATGTTAAGCAGATTTTTAAATTGTGATTATAGAATAGTAATTTTTCAATTAAATTTGTGTTTTTTATTAAAATAAATGTTACTCAAAAGTGTTTAATTGGTTATTTTATTGTCTTATTTACATATACAAGTTTGAACAGTTACAAAATTGCTTTTGGTGTATGTATTTTATAAAGTAATTTTTGTAGCTGCAATTTTTTACAGTGAACAATATGACATGGGTAACGTGTACATCTGACATTCGATTAGCAAAATGAATGTACCTTATGTTAATTTTCAAATATAGAAGTTATCTATGAACTTAAAGTATTCATTGAGAAATATATTTACGGGTTTATATTTATAGGTTATAGGTATGCTCATATCCATAAATACTTATGTCACAAATGTAGTATTTCGGTAAACATACATTTGTACATTTTATTTATTATACGCCTATAATTATTTTCTAATTAAAATCATAAATGTTTTTTTTGAGAGCATCGTTTTCTCTTTATTTAATAAATAAATATAAATTAATGAACGCCATATCCATGATTGAATCGTAGTTTGATTTTGAATTACGTACCCCAAAATGAATATGATGAAGAAATAAAATAAATATGACATTACTAAACGAAATCCATTTCTGGAGTTCAAAAAGCACAATTTTAATAAAATCATCAGACTACGGATCCTTTAAGTATGTAAATAAGATACTTTTATTATTCATAACCTCCAATATTTAAATCAATATTTAATTGTAGATATTGTTCTAAAAAAGACAGGGATAAAGATAATGTTTACCTAGACAGTAAAAGTTTATACTGTAAACAACGTGGATATGTCTGGAGTGCTTCAAATAAAAAGTCTACCAAATTAAAAGACAAACTTAAGGAATATGAAGTAACGATATGGTTCATTTCATAAATGAAAATCTGTACACTTATTTTTTAGGATCTTCTGGCACAAAATAAAGTTGTAACGTTTGTATGGGATAATGTAGTAAAATTACTTCTTTCACGTGGCATTGTAGTCACAATTACAGTAAATTCTGTAACAAATGATATAGAAAACATCAGCTTTGACAGAAGTATAGTGTCCAAAATTTATCCTGAAGTTGTTAATGCAGGTAGGTTCTATATTCAAATTGTGTTACTAGTTTTTTTGTAAAAACTAATTTTTTTAGGAATAATTAATGATCAACGTGTTGTATTTGTGTGCAGTGATGGTAAAATTTACTGTCAAGGTGGTTCTTGGAAGGATGGTTATGTTATAGGCAGTACTCCTAAGAGAAAAGTTAGTCTTTGCAAAGATTATTTAGTGGTTTGGGGTGGTGCAAACTGTGAAAATCCTCAACCATGGAGTCCACTAATTAAAGAACACCACAAGGGAAATATACATTTTTATTTAATTGGTGCAAAAGGACCAGAGCTTTTAGCTTCTAAAAGGACTGAAGGAGATCCTCAGGATGTTATAATTAGTAAAGCAAACAATGAGACATTAATAGTAATTGAGCAAATTGTTTCACAAAAAGGTATATAAAAATACTATTTTATTTTACTCTGGCCTAGTTACAGAAGAAATATGAAATTTACTATGAAATCTCCTAGATATGACACTGTTTTGGAACTGCTTTTAATATTGATGAAACTCCTCATTAATTTTTGTCTGCATATTATAGGAAATAAGTGCCCTTCTTATTTTTTTCTAAACTTTATTTTTATAGCCTGCTTTCCTCAAAATCAAAACATAATCTAATGTTAAATGCTAAATTAACTTAAAAATAATTTCATGCTTATATAATTCCTTTTAGGTGCTGTGTCCATTGAAGTTGGAACTTTTAAACTAGTTGATCATAATCTGAAACGTACCTGTGTAACTTTAGTACCTCTACAGACTCAAATAAGTTGCTGCGTATTGAGCCAAGATGAAAAATATGTGTTTTTAGGATGTATAGATTCCTCCATAGCAATTCTAAATCGTAGCAGAGGAACCACAAGAATTGCAAAAGCCTCCTTTATCCCAACTTTTGCCATATGGCACATTGCAGGAGTTACAGTGGCAATCTCTAATGAAAAGGGTCAGCTACAATACTATGATGTAGCTTTAAACTGTATCAAGTCCCAACTTATTGGAGAAGACTGCACTGCAATTGGATTAGTTGATTTGTCGATTTATTTTAAAAATCAAATGATTGTGGAGAATTTATACAGAGGACCGAATGGTTTAGTAGTAGTGTTTGAATATGGACCTGTTGTTGTTATAACGCACGTCGAAAGAGCACTGAGTTTGCCTTCGTTAGTTCAGTATTATTTGTCTGCAGAGAAAGTGGATAAAGCTATTGCTTTATTATTGAACGTGGATTGGAGTGATGAAGTTTTTTTTATTTTACAACGTATCATAGCTTATTTAACGAAATTACCGCTCACTGAAGAAAATGCCCGTCATCTACAAAACGCTCTGGGTAGCTTTCATTGTCCTCCGGTCCTTTTGAGTGCAGAAATCAAACGCAGATAGACAAGAAACTGTTCCC